TATGCTCATAACAATCCAGGAGACGATTCTGTAGCTTAATGTCTGCTTAGTCTTTTCCATCCTTAGCTAACAGTATTAATTTGGTGATAATTTAAGATTTTGGGTAGTAGAGAGATCATGTAGGCCATTTAGTCTTGGCTATCAACTAAAATGTCAATTGCTACTCGATAGACTTATAGTTAACCTCTCTCTTTTGTTGTCTCTTAACAGCCAAGATGAGTGCTCTACACCTACGTCTCATGCTAACTGAACTGGTGATGTTTATTCTTCACCTCAATTGACGCCGCATGTTCCCCCTGGTTAGTCTTGAGTCTTGACATCGTGTTTATACCATTAAAATCACCCTCTGGTTGGTTGACCACATTTGATTTATTGCAAATTTTGGTACACTATTTTGTTAAGAGTGTTCTTTGTTTACTTACGGCTCTAGCAACTGTGATCATTTTTCTTGGTACGAGTTTGCAGCTTCTCGGCGGGCACATCTGAATCGTGGAGCGTGAACTGGTCATAGCGAACTGGCCTGTTCGGTAGAAAAGACAATTTTTTTTGTGGCTACCAGTTACAGGTTTTATATACTCTTGCAGTCTTCGAAGTTGTTTTCAGCTCATGTACACATCTATTGCTGATAAAATGTACTAATCATATGTATACTGTGTATCAGGTGCACACAAGATGCTTACGATTGAGCGGTCTACACTACACAAACTATCATTTTGGTCCTTTATACATACAAGAGGCGAGCAAGGACACATACATACATTCGAGCGCCAATAATTCAACTGTCGGTTATCAATCGGCTGTGTGTATCTTGTTTCAATCGGCAATGGTGCATACACATTTCAGTGAGCACACATACATGCTTGATTTTACTTCAGTTAATTCTATAATTACTAAGAACTGTTTTGTGAAGGTGTGCCTCCCTATTTTGTCCAGATAACCACTTCTGTCTACATATTGTGACCAGATTATGATGTATGGTCTCTTTCCAGCTATGGAAAATGGTGTACTGCATACTACATGCACTGATGATAGGATAGATGGTTTGTGACGTACAACCTCTGTACCAAAATGTAGGATCTTTGGACAGGCACTTTGTGGTAGAATGTGTTGAAATAGGTCTATTTGCTAGAATATGTGTTGTGTCGATGTTGCAACTAGCATACACAAAAATGACTTTGCTATATATTTTCATAATGCTATGTTCTGCCAGTTAAATGACTTCTTATTGTTTTGAATCTACTACAAAAGTGTTTAAAGATTTACTTTGTCCCAGCGCCTACTTTGGATCAGAAGAAAGTAAAAAAGCTAGAAGATACTCCCAATGGAACAATTTATCCTATATCGAGTGGTAATTGTGTTATGTATCAGATAACTTCTCATATTAGTAATTCCCACTAAGAATTCATAGTTTTCATTCTTTTCTTTTAAGAAAAAAAATCTGAGTATTGGTGCATCCAGAAAGGATCTGGAGGTCAGCTTGTTAGTAATCCCAATATGTGTGCCAAATTATGTTGCTGTGGATCTCAAGGAATGAATGACAGCAAGCTGATGGTTCTGCTTGATGGATCTGTGTACGTTCCGATATATGAGAACAAGGGCAGCAATAGGATGCTCATCAGCAACATCCTGTGAAACTGACTACTGCATGCTAACTATCCATATGCATAATCCTATATTTGTGTAGATAGTTCCTATCACCTGAACTATCAAAATCTTGTTAAGCGTTAGCCTGATGTTTTATATATTTTCAGCACCAAGGGCAATGTAGAAATGCAAGAACAGAAGCTTTGCGAGGTAATTCAGTCAGCTATATGCATGTATGTTTTCTGCTATAGCGAGATCATTTATTTTATTTAGAAAATATAACATGAAGTGTGATTACAAGAATCTACTACTGTTAGCATGAACAGGCTTTGTAATGTACCTACTTAACAATAGCATAATTGAATCCTTCCTAAGCAGCGTCCGTCAATTGAGACTTCACATGCCTGGTTTTACTTTACGAAGAGTAGTATGTTGTGCTCCAATATTCAACTGTGTTCTTGAATTAGGAATTATGTTTTTTTATAGTTAAAGTGCTTGTCTATTGGTCTGGTGTATATAAGTGAAAGAAAACAAAAACAGATGGGGGAAGTGAGCTTCTTGCTTTTCTTTTCCTTTTGTTTCTATTTGATAATTACTCCCTACTCTGATGCTTCAGTGTTTTTTTTAATCTCCCGTGTTATATTTTTTTTGGTGCTACTTGGGCTTTCTGAGGTCCTTTTTGTTTTCATTAAGAACAAAATAGAGTTACTTAATTTTAGATTTGAATGTTAGACACAGAGCTATGAGTCAATGTACTGGTTTGACAAGCTGTATTGTCATATTCACATGTGCTTTGGAAATTAAAAAGAATTACTTTGTTCTACGTTTGAATGTCAAGCAAAAATAGAATGGGGGAAGGGAGCTCGCAATACAGATTCTAATTGTTACTTGGTGTTCTGATCCTTGTGTCTGCTCTTGTAATAATCTTGTGTGGGTGCCTTCACATGTAATCTATTGCCTCTCTGACATGTTTTGCTACAAAATTATGTCTCGATCATATGTATTTACATTACTGCTGTCAGCTTGTGATATTTAAATTATGATAGGACAATGCCTCTTTAGTTGTAACTGTGATACTCCTGATGTGCAAGTAAACACTACTAGGATAACTAAAAAAATCATGAAATGCGAGCAATTCTCGATTTAAATAGTGTGACCTTACATAATAGGAGCTAATCATTGTGTCGTGTTCAAAATGGGTACTAGAAAAGATAATTGAATAGCAAGTCCTGTACAGTTACTACCATAAAGTTTATTTCTAACTGCATGATCTGAATTGCACATTCTGAAAGTATATTAGACTCCTGCCCTTGGGAAATTAGACTGCTATAGCAATACTTCTGTAAAAAATGCCATGCTAACTTGATGGTTCAGTTTAAAGTTGTAGGCAGAGGCTTGCGGTAGGGAGGAAATCATTATGCCAGTTGAAAACCAAGCCATTTATTTGTGGGTGTATGATCTGGACTGTGCTTCTCCGAAAGTATGCTCTTGGGAGATTTAGCTATTGTGGTTTTGCTTGGTAAACAAATGACATGCTAAAATGTTGGTTGTTAGAGCCTCCCTGTTCTAAAAAAATGTTTGGTTGTTAGTACAGAGGTGGTAACACTATTTGGTCCTCTGGTATTGATTCATGATTTGTGCTTAATACATGATGTTGGTATCTGATCAATTTATTGATCATGCCTCACTTGATGTTGCATGGTGTACAGGCAAAGTGCCAATGGAGTGGCATATATCGTACTTCGCTACTACCTACATGCGATTCCATTTGATTTCACTTTGATTTTGTTTTTCTGCTGATCGTTTCTAGGTGGTTGTTGATGAATCATGTAAGGATGGTGCAGAACTCACAAGAGGGAAAAGACCGAACTGCGGTAACCAAATCAAATAGCTGATAAGGTACAAATTTCTGAAGATATATGGTTTGCCCTAAACAAGCATATACATCATAGTACAAAGGGGAATTACATCTCTATTTTATGTTATGTTTTCTTCTTGCTATCTTGTTCGTGGACTCTCTGTAAGTGCGCCTTTCTATTAGCAACCTTAGTGCCAATGACTCAACAGTCAGCTATCAACCAGAATAGTAGGGCATTGAGCTTGTAGGACACATGCATATACTGTTACTCAGACATCAAGAAAACAGGAGATAAACATGTATGACGATCTACCATGTTATTACTCGGGTGTTGATTACGAAATAGACATAGGTTTAGCAGAGAAGAAATTTCAGTGATTTATCAGTTCAGGCTATGGAAGTAAACATGAGGCATTGAAGCTAATTTGAATTAGGCGTAATGAACCAAACATTTCAAACATTTTTGTAATTGCCATTAGCGGGTCAACAGGGTAGGCATTTTCATGAGACAATATTGATTTTAATGACAGCTAATAATTACACTGCCACCTCTAGGAAAAAAACATTAGCTCAAAACTGTAATACTCCGGATTTACTTGCTATCCTTTAGACGTAATACTGTGTTGTTTGTGAAGGTTCACTTGGAAGTGGTTGAGGTAGCCTGACCTGGTGAGACCTGGTGACGCGATGCGTACATCGGAGGAAGTAGATCTTGTGAGTGCGGGAGTGGATCTTGCAATTGAAGTCGTGCCTCCGATGCAGAGGAGCAGCGGCGATGCGGTGGAAACTACAGGGTGAGTGAGAGATTGGAGAAGGAGGGGATGGTCATGAAGTGAGTAAGTGGATTAACATCGTCTGGTTAAGTAACTTGGGCCAGCCCATTATTGTGAATCTGTCATTTGTCTTCTTGAAAGCCCACAACACGGTTTAAATATGTATTGGGAGTTTGGGACAACTAAATCAGATAAATGAAAGAAATTATAACGCTTATAACAGTTTATAAAATGAAGTAACAAAGTGCATATCCAAGTTTAGTAAATTTTAGAATGTGGTTGTTTGTTGTTATTCATTGTTAGGCTTGGCATTTGAATCTTTGTTAGATCTAAAGTGCCTTTGATAGCATGGAATATTTGTACAACGCACTGTGGAGGCATGGTCTTTCTCAGGATGACTAACAAGGATGATCGGCAAAGTTATGGCGGTTTGAAAAAAGTCGTTGGTGCATTGCTGTGGATCTCAAGATGGCTATGTGTTTATATTTTGCATAATCACTCTGAAGGTCATGCTTTATATTTTCTCTGAAATTTGCTCTTGAAGAATCATGTATCTATGTTAGATCCGGTGAGAAAAGGCGGCTTCCAACCAGAGGATGCGGGAGTGTTTGTCACATTTGGTTTTCGACTTGCGTGTCTAAATATTCTCACAATACTTAGCTCGCTCTCGCCCCTTGCGCCATTTGGCGCAACGAGTCATCTAGTGTACATAAAGACCCAGTCTCACTTCCCGTTTCCGTAACGGACAAAGTTCATTTTGTAAGATGGATACCCAGGATCTATCCTCAGTTTACCGCCCGGCAGTTGACCCTGATTTCACCGTACGCCCCCGTGAGCACACCGAGATTGCCCAGCTTCACCATCGCGGCCGCGAAGTCGCTGCCGAACTGATCATTGTTGGACGCGTAGCTGCTAACCAGACCGTCCGTGGAGCCGCCGTCGTACAGCGCCTGGTCGGAGTGGAGCAGCCCCCGATGGCTGAGGAGGCCGGAGAAGTAGCTGTTGTCGAAGTAGTCGGGCGAGGACGCGTCGAGAGGCGTGAGGTTGCCGTCGTTGCCACCACCCTGTGGGCAGTCGCCTCGCAGCGACGCCGTGAAGGTCCCGTCGATGTCGGTGTCGGCGTAGATCCGGTTTCGGTAATTCTGGCATTGCGCCCGGCCGATGGTGTGCCCCCCTGCAGCAATGTGGATTCACGTGGTGATCGATCGGTCGAGGCATTGTCGACAGAGCTGTACCGGAGATCTATCGACCCGTCGCTCTCGCATTTCGCTTTCCAATGTACTAGTACGTTGTGATAGAGTGAGCATGCATGATTGCGTGGTGATTTTCTTCTTTTGAATTTGGAGCAGAGCACGGTGGTGAATGAATTATGAGGTTGTTGGGCCTGAGTGACTACTCGAGTGACGATCAGGTTCTCAAGCAAAAAGGTGATTGATGGCTCGTGCAAGCCTTGTCTGGTCGGCAAAAGGAAAGGTGGTGACAAGCGCAGGGACGAGAGCCATCGATCACCATGTTGAATTCAGGGGATGCGGGCAAAACGCTGGCGTGTCCGTCCGTTGCTATGATCAGTGATGGATGCACAACTCCATCATTAACTAGGTAGGTACACCAGACGAAGCAGCCAAGTCTTTTGAGAAAAGGGAGTCATAATGGAACAAAAAAGCCTACATGTGTATACTAGCTAGCCATGCATACGTGCGCACTTGGTTGTATGCCAGTCGCCAGACATGCTTCGCAATCTAACAGTGTGACTGACTCTTCCATGTGATCTATCAATGCATGCATGTCTCCGGGTAATTTGTGTATCATGGCTATCAGCTGTGTGCAGGCAGCGCAGCGCATTTTACCTGAGAGAGCAACCATGTCGGTGCTGCTTAATCCCTTCTTGGAGAAAGCGGCGAGGAGATCATTGAGGTTGGAGTTGGGGCCGGGGAGGTCACTGTTGGCCAAGGACGCACTTGCGGTGGTGGCGTCCCTCCTCCCAAGTAGAACCGTCCATGATGGCCCCCCTAGCTGCGCAGGAAGCCCAACAAAGCACGTAGTACTGATTGTCACCTGCTACATGTACTTCCATTCCGCCGATGGGACGACGCGTGTTTTCACTCAAGCGCAAGAAGGTAACAGAGAGCTGTAAATTTAGTCTTTTAGCTTACGTCGACGACGGCGTCGTGGGCAGCGACGGCGAGGATGTCGGCGCAAGAGACGGTCCGCGGGCAAATCAGCTCCAGCAGCAGTTTGATCCTGTCAATCACCTCGAAGCCGCGCAGCGACCCTGCGTTCGGCCCCGCCCCCTTTTCGCCGGTGAAGCTGGGCGTGTCGTCCAGCAGCACCGACGCGTCGCACCCCTAGCGTACACACACATGGATCCACCATCAAAAAAGTTTACAATACTGAAAAGAGGACCAAGGGAATAACAGAGGAAGATCTTGAGGACTTGCTTGCACAAAGCAGTCGTGGAAGTATAGCCGGAGAAGGGAGGCGCCCATGCGGCGGTCGAGCAGCACCGCCGTCGCCACGGTTGTCCTGATGGTGAGAAGCGCCGCGGGGCAAGAAGAACCGTAGTAGTTCTCCGACAGCTGCGCGTTCGCTACCGCCGCACAAGTTGCTGCGAGGAGCAAGAGAAAAGGTGGGAGACGAGCCATGAGAGATCTAAGTGTCTCGGGGCTCACCTTTCGGCTTTGGGATAGCCCTCCGCGATGCGGTTCCAAAGCATATTTATAGGCAACAACTTGAGGAATTACACGCATGTACTACTAGCTCTTAGGCCAATTCCACCGCGCGACCCCAAACGGACGTCCGTTTTGTCCGGATTCTGTCCGTTTGGGCAGTGGATGGGGTCATGTCCGGGCCTGTCCTGGGATGTGGTGGCCGTGCGCCCAGCGCACGACCGCATCCTTCTACCCCATCCTGTCCGCGTCTATTTAAAAAAAAAAAAGAAACGTTTCAAATGCCAAGCCCTACGGCCCCAGTTCAGCACGCACGCCGGCAACAAAGCCAACGGCCGGCAACACAGACAGCCTCCAAAATGTATGGTTGTCCTCGCCGGCAACACATCCAGCGACCGGCAACACAGCCGGCCTTCAAAATGAATGTTTTTCTCGTCGGCACACAGCCAGCGGCCCAGCGGACGGGCGACACCCATGACAGCCTCCAAAAAAGAACGGCCACGGCCGATCGGACGACCTAGTTCAGGCCGTCGGCGTCGAGCATCTCCTTCTGCCTGGCCTCGAACCAGACCCTCGTCTTCTCGCTCATCTTCGACAAGTCCACGCTCATGATCGCGAGGGCCACCTCCTTCGCTTTAGTGGCGGCATCGGTGGTCTTGATGTCGAGCTGCCTTTGCCTGGCCTTGACGTTCTCGGCCTCGATGTCGAGCTGCCTTTGCCGGACCGCCGCCTCCATGTCGAGCTGCCTCTGTCGGGCCGCCTCCTCCATCTCAAGCTTCCTTCTCTTGGACGCCTCCTCCATCTCAAGCTTCTTCGTTTGAAGCTCTAGGTATTGCTTCATTTGCTCGTCCTTGCTTTGCCGCTTCTTCTCGTCCCTCACATCCTTTTGCGACATCATGCCATGCAAAGTGTCATGCAATGCCATGGATAAGGCATCACGAATGTCATCAACCTTAGAGTTGGTCTTGCCCCTTGGCCTCTTCAACGCCTCGCCATCTCCACCTCCGGCGAACTTGGCCGTCTTCAGGCCTCTCTTCCTTTGGAGTTCACGGTATTGGTCCTTGAACTTAGGGCAATTGTTGATCATACTCCAACAATGCGTAAGAGTGAACGGCTTATCATTGTGCCGGGCCTTGAATGCCTCCAAAGATTGAAATGCCTACACCATATGATGAACAACAAGTGACCATGCAAACATGTACAAGGCCGAAGTTTCATGGTCGTAGCAAGGAAAGGGCAAAGAATGAGAGCATACCATGTCTCCAACGCCGGTACCACTCACGGGCCGTGCTTGAACGCTCTCAAATGCGGCTTGATACTTGTTGCATTTTTGTTGGATGAACAACCATCTCTTTTGAATCGAGCCGACGCCACGGTTGCTTTCAAATTGGTAGGGCTCAAACATCTTCCTTTCATGGAATGTTTTGTGGACTCTCGTCCAAAAAACAATACCGTTTTGTTGCGCGCTGGTCCTTGGATCTTGGCTAATCTCCATCCAAGCTTGACAAATCAACTTATCCTCATCTTGTGTGTATGAACCCGTGCGAATGCTCTTCCTCTTATTTTGTGCTTCCGCTCTTTGTGTCAGCTCATCGATGAACAATGGCGCGCCACTAATGTCAACGTTGTTGCTTTCTTCTTCTTCACCATCACCTTCGACATAGATGTCATCATCTTCATGCCACGAGTCACCATGGTCGTGGTCAGCACGGTCGTCGGCCTTTTCATCGGCAGTGAACTGGCCGCGGCCATCCTGACTTTGGGTCTCCTCGGGGTCGTAGACAGGGACGTGGCCGCCATCGTAGATCACTTCCTCCATAAACTGGTCGTAGTAGGGGTCGTCGACCGGTGCCGTTGGGGTTGGCATTTCGTCGAACAAGACGCGGGGGGACGACATGGTGCCGGTAAACGGCGGCCGTGCTTGCTTTCTTTGCATCTCGACGGACGGCCGGCCGGCCGCTGCTGCTGGACCCAAGGGTGACGTTGAGGTCGATGACGGCCGAGGTGCGTGGTGTGCACGGCGCGATCACGCTCACGTTTGGTGACCCCCTGAAACGGGTATGTGTGTCGTGCCTTGGCAGAGGAAAGCCGTGCGACAAGGGCATGGTCCGCGACATCGGCGACTGGCAGTGCGGAGGCCGGGCGACCGACGACCCTGTGCTCGCCGGACCGACGGACCCTCCAGAGAAACCGGGCGGGCGACAAATGTCGGCCATGAGAAGGGCGTGCGCTTTGCTGACGATGGCCTCCTTCTCCTCGACCTCGGCCTTGTGCCGCGTGGCCTCAATCGTAGCGCGCTCGGCGGCTCTCTTGGCCGCGGCGACATTGATCTTGACGACCGCCTTCTGGCTCCTCCTCTTCGCCGATTCCGCGTCCAACTTGGTGATCTTGTTGGAAATATGCCCTAGAGGCAATAATAAAAGTATTATTATATTTCAATGTTCATGATAAATGTCTTTTATTCATGCTATAACTGTATTATCCGGAAATCGTAATACACGTGTGAATACTTAGACCACAATATGTCCCTGGTGAGCCTCTAGTTGACCAGCTCGTTGTGATCAACAGATAGTCATGGTTTCCTGACTATGGACATTGGATGTCGTTGATAACGGGATCACATCATTAGGAGAATGATGTGATGGACAAGACCCAATCCTAAGCATAGCATAAAAGATCGTGTAGTTCGTTTTGCTAGAGCTTTGCCAGTGTCAAGTATCTCTTCCTTCGACCATGAGATCGTGTAACTCCCGGATACCGTAAGAGTGCCTTGGGTGTATCAAACGTCACAACGTAACTGGGTGACTATAAAGGTGCATTACAGGTATCTCCAAAAGTATCTGTTGGGTTGACACGGATCGAGACTGGGATTTGTCACTCCGTATGACGGAGAGGTATCTCTGGGCCCACTCGGTAATGCATCATCATAATGAGCTCAATGTGACCAAGGTGTTGGACACGGGATCATGCATTACGGTACGAGTAAAGTGACTTGCCGGTAACGAGACTGAACAAGGTATTGGGATACCGACAATCGAGTCTCGGGCAAGTAACGTACCGATTGACAAAGGGAATTGCATACAGGGTTTGATCGAATCCTCGACATCGTGGTTCATCCGATGACAACATCGAGGAGCATGTGGGAGCCATCATGGGTATCCAGATCCCGCTGTTGGTTATTGACTGAGAGCGTCTCGGTCATGTCTGCATGTCTCCCGAACCCGTAGGGTCTACACACTTAAGGTTCGGTGACGCTAGGGTTATTAGGAAGACTAGTATGTGACTACCGAATGTTGTTCGGAGTCCCGGATGGGATCCTGGACGTCACGAGGAGATCCGGAAGGGTCCGGAGGTAAAGATTTATATATGGGAAGTTGTCAAACAGACACCGGGAAGTTTCGGGGTCATACCGGTATTGTACCGGGGCCACCGGAAGGGTTCCGGGGGTCCATCGGGAGGGGCCACCCCTCCCGGGGGGCCACATGGGCTGCGTGGGGCAGGGAGCCAGCCCCTGGTGGGCTGGCCGCACCCCCTCCCTTGGGCCCATGCGCCTAGGGTTGAGGGGGGAACCCTAGAGGGGGCGCCCCCCTTGGCTTGGGGGGCAAGCCACCCTCTCCCCTCTCCCCTAGGCCGCCGCACCCCCGCTAGATGGGTTCTAGGGGGCCGGCCCCCTTCTCCCTTCCCCCTATAAATAGAGGGGTGAGGGGAGGGCAGCCGGACCACCCTCCAAGGCGCAGCCCTCCCCTCCCCAACACCTCTCCTCCTCCGTTGTGTGCTTGGCGAAGCCTTGTCGGAGTACTGCCTCTCCACCATCACCACGCCGTCGTGCTGCCGGTGGAGCTGTCTTCCTCAACCTCTCCTTCCCCCTTGCTGGATCAAGAAGGAGGAGACGTCTCCCGTCCCGTACGTGTGTTGAACGCGGAGGTGCTGTTCATTCAGCACTTGGTCATCGGTGATTCGAATCACGTCGAGTACGACTACATCATCACCTTGCAAGCTTCCGCACGCGATCTACAAGTGGTATGTAGATGCAAACTCTCTCCCTTGACTCGTTGCTTAGATGAACTCATAGATGGATCTTGGTAAAACCGTAGGAAAAATTTTAATTTTCTGCAACGTTCCCCAACAGTGGTATCAGAGCTAGGTCTATGCGTAGTTCTCTTTGCACGAGTAGAACACAATTTTGTTGTGGGCGTGGATTTTGTCATCTTACTTGCCTCTACTAGTCTTTTCTTGCTCAACGGTATTGTGGGATGAAGCGGCCCGGACCAACCTTACACGTACGCTTACGTGAGACCGGTTCCACCGACTGACATGCACTAGTTGCATAAGGTGGCTGGCGGGTGTCTGTCTCTCCCACTTTAGTTGGAGCGGAATCGATGAACAGGGCCCTTATGAAGGGTAAATAGAAGTTGACAAAATCACATTGTGGTGATTCGTAGGTAAGAAAACGTTCTTGCTAGAACCCAATTGCAGCCACGTAAAAGATGCAACAAAAATTAGAGGACGTCTAACTTGTTTTTGCAGCGATTGATCATGTGATGTGATATGGCCAGAAGTTGTGATGAATGATGAATTGTGATGTATGAGATCATGTTCTTTGTAATAGGATTCACGACTTGCATGTCGATGCGTATGACAACCGGCAGGAGCCATAGGAGTTGTCTTTATTTTTTTTGTATGACCTGCGTGTCATTGAATAACGCCATGTAAACTACTTTACTTTATTGCTAAACTTTAGTCATAGAAGTAGAAGTAGTCGTTGGCGTGACAACTTCATGAAGACACGATGATGGAGATCATGATGATGGAGATCATGGTGTCAAGCCGGTGACAAGATGATCATGGAGCCCCGAAGATGAAGATCAATGGAGCTATATGATATTGGCCATATCATGTCACAACTATATAATTGCATGTGATGTTTATTATGTATTATGCATCTTGTTTACTTAGGACGACGGTAGTAAATAAGATGATCCCTTATAAAATTTCAAGAAGTGTTCTCCCCTAACTGTGCACCGTTGCTACAGTTCGTCGCTTCTAAGCACCACGTGATGATCGGGTGTGATGGATTCTTA